GGTTGCAGCCATCATTGTTGTTTGGCAGGCCCGGGCTGGATCCGAACCCGCCACCTTAGGTGTATGTGGCTGGAGCCTTAGCCACTTGAGCCACAGGCACTGAGCCTGCTTTTCATTTTCATTAAGACTATTAAAAATTATTTCTCTGGACAATTCATATTTCCTTGGGAAATTACTCTTATGAGTAATGTGCTCCTTTCTATAGTATCTCAATGTAATTCTCATACTGATTCTTTGGTAATTGTGACCAGCTATTTATTGAAGGATGATGCAGAGGATAGATGGAAGAACAAGCTGTATAGCGTATAGCTTTACTTCTTATTTGTCCATCTTCCACCAAATCTATAGTTTTCTTTACTCTTAGGATAAACGCTCTCTCAGTTTTTGTCATTCAGAAAAAGTTAACTGTGGTTCAAAGCAAAACCCTTAAAGTTTTAAGTATTCTACATTGTGATCTTAGTCATTGTTGCTTTTCCTACCTCCCATCTGCCATGTGTTAAGTAGATAAAAGACAGTATATATGGTACTTTAGCGTAGTTTTTCCTATTCTTCAGTAACATCTGAATCTCTAGGGCTGTTCCTGATTTTTCTGGGACCTAACTGCAGTCATTCTGACCCAAGGATGGTTAGCTAGAGTTTTGATTCCTTTTAGGAAATCTAGTTTATCTGATATTCAGCCATTTCAGAGTAGCATTGGCAAAATGCTTTAGCTTAAACTAAATCTGGTTGTATTATATACCTTGGCTAGGAAGTCAAAGATATCCATGTTAGACCTAAAATTTGGGACAATATGTATTATAGACACAAGTTTGGTTAGGTATATAGTTTACTAATAATATTTTTAACTCAAAGGAGTTTTTTGCTGGTTTTTTCTTTCATAGGTCCTAAAGGAAGCTAAAAAACCAATGGTGGTTTTAGGCAGTTCTGCACTCCAAAGAAGTGATGGAGCGGCAATTCTTGCAGCTGTTTCCAACATCGCACAAAAGATTCGGATGACTAGTGGTGTTACTAGTGATTGGAAAGTTATGAACATCCTTCATAGGTGTGTTGAGTAATTGTTTTATATACCATAAAATTCAAGTAGGTTTGTGTTCCTGAATTGCTGTCACATTTAGTTTTACCACTTAACATTTAACAATATTATCCCAGTTGTAGAGATGAAACATAAACCTTTACTTTATGTGAGAAGAACCTAAGATAATAAGTCATATTAAAAATATCTGAAATAGCAGTGAGTATTGAAAAAATTGAATACTTGGCTTGGCACCAGCTCAGCAGCTAAGGCGCCAGCCACATACACCAGAACTGGTAGGTTCAAATCTAGCCCAGGCCTGCCAAACAGCAATGACAGCTACAACAACAACAACAACAAAAAATAGCCGGGTGTTGTAGTGGGCACCTGTAGTCCTAGCTACTTGGGAGGCTGAGTCAAGACAATCGCTTAAGCCGAAGAATTTGAGGTTGCTGTGAGCTATGACACCATGGCGCTCTACCCAGGACGATAGCTTGAGACCTTAAAAAAAAAATAAAGAAAAAATTGAATACTTAAAAATTTGTATTGTATCAGTTGTACTTTGGTTCAAAAATTATAAGTCTTCTGACTTGGATTAAATAATAAAACTGTAAGCTAACAGAATTCAGGTGAAGGTTCTATTTCCAACTATATCAATAATGCAAGTGTATTTTAGAAAAGTTACAAAGAAGGGGCAGCACCTGTGGCTCAGTGGGTAGGGTGCCAGCCCTATATACTGAGGGCCACACTGCAACAAAAAAATAGCTGGGCATTGTGGCAAGCACCTGTAGTCCCAGCTACTCAAGAGGTTGAGGGAAGAGAATCGCCTAAGCCCAGGAGTTGGACGTTGCTGTGAGCTTTGTGATGCCAGGGCACTCTACCGAAGGCGATAAAGTAAGACTCTGTCTCTACAATAAAAAAAAAGAAAAGTACAAAGTGCAAAATGAAAAGAATCCTTATTCCACAATCTATAGATACTTACCACTGCTATTTCAGTGTATTTTCTTCTGATTATTTTTTCTGTGTAAATGTTTTTTACTTACATAGTTGAAGTGAATACAATTTTGTTTCCTGGTTTACCAAATAAGAATTTTCTCCTATGATTAGAAATGTTTTATAAATAAAAGTCTTATTACCTAATTAATATCATGAATATACTGTAATCTTTATTAGCCACTTTTTAACATGTATGTTGATGCTCATATTTAACTTTTTATTTATTATTTATTGTTAGAGATGAGGTCTCTCTCTGTCACCCAGGCTGAAGTGCAGTGTAATTTTATTTTTTATTTATTTATTTATTTATTTTTTAAATATGGTCTCACTTTGCTGCCCTCAGTGGCGTGCTGTGAAGGCATAGCTTACAGCAACCTCAAACTCCTGGGCTCAAGCAATCACCTGCCTCAGCCTCCCAGAGTGCTAGGATTAAAGGCATGAGCCACTGCACCTGGCCCCCTTACAGTACTTTCTGAAAGTAGAGCTATTGGGGCAAATAGGATCACTATTTCTGCAGCTCTTGATGTATGTTGCCAACTTGTTCTAGAAAAGTTGTACCCGTTTACATTAAACACAGTAGATTCTCAGATTAGCTCATATTTCTAGTAAGTTAACAGTAGTGAACTAGACCAAAATAACCCTTGTTCAAAAGATATCCTAGACATCCCTTTTCTTTCTTTTTTTTTT